TTTTGTTTGTTTTTTTAAGAGAGAGAGGGAGAAAGGCAGAGATAAGGGAAGTGAGGGAGAGCATGAGAGGGGTGAAGGAGTGGTTTTGATGGTTTCACCATGTCGCCTTATGTCCCAGCCTCCCAGTTAGCTAGAGTTACAGGTGTGCCATGTACCTGGCCCATATTAGGCTGGTCTGGGAACTGAATCCAGATCTTCCACATGGCTCTAGCCTTACACGGTTGCGCCTTACCACCTCTACCACCGTGGCTGGGCTTTCTGTGGTTGTTAATGAGAAATTCTAGTGGTCCAAATGTTTCATAATAGTCTAGAAAACCTCTTTATCCAGAAATGTGTATTGTATTGCCTCATGGTTTCTCCTTCCTCTAATGCAGGAAGCTTGCTGTGTGGGCCTGGAGGCCGGCATAAATCCCACAGACCACCTCATCACAGCCTATCGGGCTCATGGCTTTACCTTCACTCGTGGCCTTTCAGTCCGACAAATTCTCGCAGAGCTTACAGGTTTGCTATTAATTTACAGACTGAGGAAATGAGTGTGTTAATTTCTCAAATATCTCCTAAGATGCTAAGCTTTATGAATTTATATTAAAACCTTTTTGAGTTTTGTGGGTTTTTTAAAACCCTCTCTCATTGGGTGCCCTGGTACTTCTGTTGTGCTGCTTTTGAGTAAACTGACCATTTGTGAAGTCATCTGACCCCTCAGATAAGTCAGTGCAGTGAAATCAAAATAGAATTTGTTTTCATCAAGCATGGCAGCAGAAATCTAGCAGTCATAGAAAGTAAAGCGGGTTGAAATACTCCTTGGTGTGTGCACTGTTGATTCCACAAGTCTCTCTTACTTCTTTTTTCTCTGTTCCCCTTGACTCGGACTATTTAGTGTGCCTAAGTAGGAGAATTGGGAAGATATTTGTAACCGACCAAAAAGGAAAGCCAGTCCAGGGTACCCCACTAACATCTGAAGGCCACTGAGTAGAGAGCAGGACAGGTTAGAAAGTTCAAGGATGTGGGACTAGTCTAAACACTTTGGAAAAGGACAGGGAGACAAGGAAGGACATATATTTGCATAGAGGGACAGATGCTTAGAAGTTGAATTGGTCTCTGAGTTCTCGTGGTTGAGCCTGGAGGTAAATAACTTGGGGTGTGGTTTTGTTTGCTTTGTATGTTGGGTTTTGATGTACATGTGTGTGTTTTGCCATTCCTAGGACGGAAAGGAGGTTGTGCCAGAGGGAAAGGAGGATCCATGCATATGTATGCCAAGAACTTCTACGGGGGCAATGGAATCGTTGGGGCTCAGGTAAGTTGAGGAGGAAGAGTGCAGGCTTCCTTAGATTTGGCCCTGGCCCGTGTCTTCAAAAACTTCCACACCCCAGAGAACTTCCCTCTGAAGTATTTCTGTACTGTTGGGGCTTGGTTGACTTTGAAGGAGCTCTTGCTTTAGACTCTGCCATTTGAGCACTGACCAAGTAGACTTGGATGGTGATTCAGAATTTATCCTTTTAGGTGTTTATTGTTTTCTAAGTCGGCAGGAGCCTCTGGCAGTAGTTATACCTTCACCTTCGGATTATATCTCAGTGCGTCAACAGCTTAATCACATCAAGTTCACACTACCCCTTCCTGCTCATAGCCGTTGCTAGCACTGGTACCAGATGGGAGGGGGCAGGTGATCAGGGTCTAGGGGCTTAATAATCATCCACAGCTGACATTGTCATTATGAAGTTCTTGTCGGTGAGTGAATGGATTAACAGCATAAAATTATATGTAGATTGCTTTGTTTACTTTGTAATATGCTATAATTCTATTGTATGCTTTTTGAAAAAAGCTAGGTTTCTGGGCCAGCAGGTGGTGTAGTGGTTAAGACGCTGAACTCCCACATGGTCAACTATGGTTCGAGTTCTGGACCCAGGGGCTTGAAATTTAGGCTGGGTGTGTGTGGACGCATGCCCAAGATCCTGCGAGGAGAGTAGAGGAGAAGGGATTGTGGCATCGCCATCCCCTTTGGGGAGCGATTTCTCACTTCTGTTTCTCTCTGTCTCTCCGAGAAGCACATGCACCGTTTTAGAAAAATCTCTCGAAAGATGGGACCAGCAGTTAGCATAATGGCTATGTCACTGGACTCCCATGTAGTCGACCACAATTCGAGTCCCGGACCCGGTGGCTTAAACTCACGCTGGGCGCGTGTGCGCCCAAGATCCTGAGAGGAGAATGGAGGAGAAGGGATTATGGCGTGGCCATCCCTGGAGGGTGATTTCTCGCTTTCTGTCTTTCTGTTTCTCTCTGTCTTTCTGGCGAGCACACGTGCCCTATAACAAAAACCTCTCAAAAAAGAAAAAAAGAAAGAAAAATCTCTCAAAAGAAAAAATAACCTAGGTTTCATTTTTTGACTCTTTATAATTAGAAGTTGAATCTTTGAGTGCAGAAACGGTATTGCTTACTGGTTGAAGTAGAATATAATACTGATTCACGTTACATTACCAGTTTGTTGAAAATATCAGGTGTATGGCAAAGAAAGTTTATAGCAACAGTGTAATTTCTGTCCCAAATTGTGAATTAAAATTCAGAGCATCGATAATTCCCTTCATGGATTTTTCCCATTTCTTTCTTGGTTGTCCTTACCGTTAGGTGCCCCTGGGAGCTGGGATTGCTCTGGCCTGTAAGTATAATGGAAAAGACGAAGTCTGTTTGACTTTATATGGTGACGGTGCTGCTAATCAGGTGAGTCTACATCTCTTAACTTTCTAATAACAATTAGTTTTATTTACAAAGTGTTCAGTATTCAGGAGTTGACTTTGTAAAGCAGTGTATTGCCTGTTAGTTGAATTAGCGATTCACATAGCAAGCTGGAGTTTGGTTTAGGGCCAGAGATATGCCTCTTGGCATATTTCACAAGAGCGTCCTTATAAGGGAGCTTTCCTGTGCTCTGCAGACACTGTGGGATGGGGGCTTTTCCTTTTCTTTTTTTAATTTCAAACCTGTGACAGACCTTGCTATATATGCAAACTCATTCTCTCAGTTGCCAGCAATGGCAGATTCCAGGAATGGTCTGAGAGCCCTGGCTCTCAGTTTCTGTGCTTCTCCTCTCATGGTCTGATGACCAGCCAGTAATCGTGCTCTGTGACATGCTGATTTTCAGCATTGATTCCCTCTGGTTACCCTGTGGGTCTGATGACATCCATAACAAAGCACCAAACCTGGCAGCCACACATCTGCACACTCATCTTTGCCCCAGTCTGTTCTCTACCTGTAGTGTGGCCTCCCAAGACACAAGTGGTGGCGCTTGCTTTGTTCCTTCCCTTAGTTGCAAGAGCATGAGCCTGCTGAGTCTCCTCACTGGCCCCCAATGCTCACATATTCCTTCCTTCCCTCCCACAAAAAGCTTGGTGTAAGAAGACGAGCTTTTTCACCCTTTCTGAAGCCTGTCTATGCTTGGTAGAGCAACAGCTGTCCTGGATGATAAAGTCTAGAGACACAGGTAAAGGGAAACCACTTGAACTTTTTACACATGCTTTTAGGGTCAGATATTCGAAGCTTACAACATGGCAGCTCTGTGGAAATTGCCTTGCATTTTCATCTGTGAGAATAACCGCTATGGAATGGGAACATCTGTGGAGAGAGCGGCGGCCAGCACAGATTACTACAAGAGAGGCGACTTTATTCCTGGGCTGAGGGTAAGGACAGTTGTCACAGAGACAGGGCTGCCCCTCATACCAAGATGCCCTTGGACATGCTCCTGACATGCCGAGGAGACCTGAAGAGTTTGATATTCTTACGTGTGGCCAGATCACCTGAAAGTAGGAGTTTTCAGCAGTTGGATTGATGCTTTGCCTTTTCCACGTTTGGTAACAGGTTGATGGAATGGATATCCTGTGTGTCCGAGAGGCGACAAGGTTTGCAGCTGCCTACTGTAGATCTGGGAAGGTAAGACTCTCTGAGACTTCCTCTTAGGCTCCGCACTATGAAGTTCTGACATCTCTCTTTGAGTTAAAAGATTGCTTTTACATACCTATTAGCTATTCACGGGTAGTTGCCACTTGCAGTGTGTAAGGTCGAGGCCCAGTGCAGTCGGGTGGATGGGATCCCTTTGTGAGAAGTCCGGCTTGGTAGCACACCCTTTGGGAAATAGTCACATTTGCTTCTTAGGCATCTTGCCTCTGTCTTAATCATGACAGTCTGTTTTGCCTTTTGGTTTGACTAGTTTATGTGCCTTCTTCCCATCCCCACCCTACCCCCACTAATCATAAGTCTTTTGAGTGAACAGATTGGGGGTCCCCACAGTACCCTGCCTAGAACTTTGCTGTGTACAAATTTAATGGCATGGTTAAAGGATGTCATCTTAGTCTTGCTGTTTCAGTCTTGGGACTCTTAACCCTTTCAGTGTATGGCAGTGAGGGAGAAGGGAACAGTGGTCTAAAAAAGAGGCTTGAGTAGCTTTAGCACTAGGATACATTGAGAAATAGCGCTTCCTAAACCAGCGTTCCACGCTTGGAAAGCACACTCAGGGTACCTCCCTGTCAGGGACATCCCTGTGTGGAAATTGGGGCAGTAATACAATCAGATGTGGCTCTCAGTGAAGATGTCATCAGCAAGGGAGCCAGGAGGGAAACGTAGCCATGTTAAATAAGAAGATGAGCCCAAGAACCTAGAGCAGGGCCGAGAGGGCAGGTGGGTCGTATTAAATTGGGGGCTGAGCAGTTTGTATCAGCAGTGCAAGTGAGGGAGCCAGGTCCTGGGGTGAGCAGTTTCCCCATGTCTCTCAGTTCTGAAAAGACTGTTGGGGGTGGGGTCTGACACTGGGTGGAACACAGTCAGTGGTTTTTAAATGCCTTGACTTTCTCAGTGTGACCAGTGTGTGATCTTAGAATTAGGGGAGGGTCTGGAAACTCCCTTATTACCACCAGCCCAGCCCACTGTTTGCAGATGGCTACTAGGTAACGTAACACAAGGAACAGGTGACATTTATTGAGGGATTGACATGTGTTAGGTTATGCACTAAGTATTGTGTAGATGTATCTTTTTTTTTTTTTAAGAATTATTTAAATTTATTTATTTTTAAAAATTATTTATTTTTAAAATTTGACCAGAGAGGGACAGAGTGGGGAGGGGGGAGAAAGCAAGCTGCCAGGTTCCAGATGCAAGCTGCAGTGGGCCGTGTGGGAGTCCGGCGCCCTTTACCACCACACCACCTGCCAGCCCCTAGATGTATCTTATTTACTCTTCATAGTTCTGAGTTACTGTTTTTGCCCATTTTGCTGATGAGAAAACTGAGGTGCAAAGCGTTAGGGTACATAGCTACTCTGTCTCAGAGCCAGGGATGGAACCCAAGCACTTCGACTCAGGGGCAGCTTCTCCACTCCCCCTAATTTTATTTTTTTTTAAAGAGAGTTTTTTTTTTTTTTTTTTTTTTTTTTTGCTGTAGGGCATGTGTGTTTACCAGATAGACAGAGACAGACTGTAAGAAATCACCTCCCAGGGGGATGGCCACCCTGCAATCCCTTCTCCATTCTCCTCTCAGGATCTTGGTCACGCACACACATGAACCTGCACCCGGCATGAGTTTCAACCTGCTGGGTTCAGGACTCAAATTGCGGTCGACTATGTGGGAGTTCAGCAACACAACTATTACACCACCTGCTGGTCCCACAGTCCCCTAATTTTAGCTACTACCACAAACTATCCTGGGGTCCATGATCCATCCCCTCCCCTCGATGTCATAGCCTTCTTTTAGAAGTGGGCTCGTGTAACAGGAGTGTGCCACTTGGTGAGGCACAGCAGCCGGGCTGGCCAGACTCCTAGCTGAGACACAGGGTTTAGGTAGCAGAGGTCGTTGGTGCCTGCCAACCTTCTGTTACGCACCAGCAAGATGGGGAACAGCAGTGGTTGCCAGCTCCTGTGTGAAACTGCATGAACAGGGCATGAGGTGGAAACCTCCCTCTCCCGTATTAACAGGCTTAAAGGGCTCTGAAACCTGCCTGGTGCTTTTTTGATTCAAAATATACAGTTGACAGATTGCTCTGTTAAACAGGTTCCTATTACAAGTGAGAAGACTAAAACATGCAACAAGTAGGTGATAGAAATGACAGCACATAACTTAAGAATCAGTCAACCGATAAGAATTTCTTGACAGCTCAGCAAGACGTGGCAAGAGTAATTGCGTGCTAAGAGGGTGGAGGCTGTGGGTCATTGGCATGCCATTCTGTCATCTTTCCTAACCTCCCATGGGCTGTTTCAGGGGCCCATCCTCATGGAGCTGCAGACTTACCGTTACCACGGACACAGCATGAGTGACCCTGGAGTCAGGTATGTCCTGGGGACCCTGAGCATGGCCTCTGGCCTAGGTGGACCTTGAATGGTTCTTCTCCCATGGAAAAGCAAAACACTCTGACACTGGCTTTTAAAGCCAGGAACTAGTTTGCTTTATTCATCGGTTTAGTTTTGTTGACCTCGAGTAGCTATTGAAGTCTTAGTCTGAAAGTAGCGTCCCTAAGAAATGGGCTCCAATATAAAAAGCATTCTGAACATTCCTGCAACGTGTAGTATAGAAATGTTCCTGTGAGGAGTAATTAAGCTAATTTGTAACTTCATTGTAGAGGGAAATTGTCCCAGGACACGGGTCTGATGGCAGAGTAGCAGGTTCGGGGGCATTTAGCCTTAGTACACATTGCCCCAAATCTGCACACTGCGTGCTTGACCTGGAGAGGATGCAGTTTGGAAATGATCTAGCTGGTGTAGAACAAGGCCAGCTGGCATGTGGGGTGTTCAGTAAGTTGAAATATGTCACAAAAGCTTAGGTTACACTGGGGTAGTAGGGATTTTACTTGTTTACTTAGTAGCTCTGTCATGTAATTCTGCAGTCCCAGGTTTGGCACAGTTTGAAACCCATGGATTTAGTCAAAGTAAACAAACCTTTGTTTGTAGCCTTCTAAGGGAAAAAGTTGTAGAGAGCACATTATATGGAAAAGTACATTCTGTGTGGTTCTGTTTGAAACAGTGGTAAGAGTCCTTGCTTTTAGTAGTATTTCCAATGAGGAAGGAAAGGGATCTGTTACGGAATTAAGATGCAGAGCACGTGGTGTTCAGGTTGTAAATAGCCACACCTCTTTGGGATCATAAGGGAGAAAAGAAAGGCATGTGTATCTTCCTCTGCTTGGCCTTCTGATACCGAGTGTGCATTTATCACCACTCACAAACCATCTTCACTGTCCCCATTGGGGAGCACACAGGAGCCTAGGTGGTTGGCCAGGTGGCACACTTCCATACCCTTCCAACCCAGATCACAGCAGTCCACAGAAACTCAGCCCGCATCGTCATAGTGCTAGATAGGCCGTGTGCATTGCCAGGGTACAGGTCTGTGAAAGGTAGAAGCAGCTCTTGTGGGAACGTTAGGCTACTTTTGTGTACTTTGAACGTATAACTCCGCCACTTCTGCAGTGACCTAGGTACAGGTGGGCCCCGTCATTTCAGAACCATCCTCTGTGTTTCATTCTGTTGTGGCAGTCTGGCCCCATGAAGTAGTTGCTCTGCTGGAACCATTCTTCCTCATGTATTACATTTCCCTCCCACCAGTTATCGTACACGAGAAGAAATTCAGGAAGTAAGAAGTAAGAGTGACCCTATTATGCTTCTCAAGGATAGAATGGTGAACAGCAATCTCACCAGTGTTGAAGAATTAAAGGTACAGTCATTCTTGGTGGTTATATAGGTTGGCTCTCCTTTCCAAGCAATTCCCCCACCCCTACCAAGTTGTCACCAACAGATGGCCTCAGAATCATGCTTGAGTTTCTCCAAGCCTGGAAAGTGATGGGTCGTAATTAATTCTAAAATCCCAAAGGGCTGTTCTTTTAGGTTCTTCTGAAAAATTAATAGCATTACTCTTTATTAAGATTTTGGTAGGCAGTGAACTACCTGAATAGGAAAACATGTATTAGGAGAGGACATTTATTCATCGAATTGGCAAAGCCTGTAAATCCTAGAAATATACTTTGGAGTTTGAATTCCTAAACAGTCCCTGGGTTTGTGGGGTTTTTTTGTTTTTAGTTTTTTTATTTTTAAATAGAGTCTCACTGGCCTAGAACTTGTGGTCCTCCTGCCTCAGCTTCCTGAGTAGCTGGAGTTACAAGTGTATGCTGCTGCACTCGGCTCTGTTTTTCAAAGTGATTAAGTCTATACTTAAGAATCTAAATAACTGTCATTAATTTGAAAAGTAAAATCAAAATTAGTATCATTAGTACTGCAGTACTAGTTGAAGAGTTAATCTGGCAACAGGTTCTGTGTAGAACTCTAGTTGGTATCTAAGCTGCTGTTTATTCAAAATTTCTTGCACTGTAATCAAATCTGATTTTTAGGAAATTGATGTTGAAGTGAGAAAAGAAATTGAAGATGCCGCCCAGTTTGCCACGGCTGATCCTGAGCCACCTTTGGAGGAACTAGGCTATCACATCTACTCCAGCGATCCCCCTTTTGAAGTTCGTGGCGCCAACCAGTGGATCAAGTTTAAGTCGGTCAGTTAATGGAAGACGGTGTGTGCCGGATGGTTATGCCTGCACTGGGCTCTTCAGCTGCAGCTGTAAGGAACTCCTGTTTTAACTTTATTAAGGAGGAATAAAACCCAGAAAAACAGAGGTCTTGTAAAGTTTCATTAAGACTTACTGTGTCTAGACTAAATGAAAGGGATAGTAATTGCATGCAGGTTGTACATTGTTGCATTCAAAGATGTTATTGAGTGCTTATATAGTGTGAATATTATACAGATTTTAGATTTATGCAGACCTAAAATAGTTCTATTTGATTTAGTCATAGACTTTCAACGAGTACCCTGCAGTTTGTTACTAAAAGGAAGAACAATTTCTTGACGCCTGCCCCAGCTCTTCCACCTGTTGGGCCAGAGGCCATTCGCTCAAGGGGTCGGTGCCATGTCCCCACAGAAGCCCCTAAGTGGCCACCCCATTAGTGTGCTGAAACTAGGGTTCACCCTGACCGCCATTTTTTCACAACAATACCCCATATTTATTATAATCATTGCAAAGACAAAATAACTTAACATTCAATATAAATACAAAGCTATTTTCTTAATAGTTACAGTCATATCAAACATTAAATACAAGGCACAGTCATATCAGTCTTTTCCAAATTTCAGTACTTTACCAACTGATAGCTTATAGTACATACACTAGAATCATGATGCCCAGCTTCTTTATTTTTAAACACATGCTGCTTCACTTTCCAGCAAGTGCTATAGGATATACTTTTTTAAAAGAAGTAAACTGAAATCCATCTCTAGGGATTTCCTGATATGCTGGACTGTCAAATTAAGGCTCACTGTTCTCACAAAACATATAGTACTATGTTTTTCAGTAATGAGTTGTAAAGGAAACATTTCAATAAAGACAATCTTTGAAACTGAAAGTTCTTAAATTGTGAATCAGACAAAGGTATTTTTCGCAGAGAAATGCAGAAGACCTGGCATGTACGTTAACAGAAGCTGTGGGGTACGGGCTCCCTCTGTCCCGATGTAGCTGACTGTGCTGATGCCTAGTCGTTGGCAGAGGGCTCTTGAGCCAGTCTTCTGTGCTGCGAGACAGCGCTCCAGAGCCTGCAGAGGAGCCCACCACTAGGAAAGAATAGGGTCATCTTGAGCACCAGAAAAGAAGTGTGTGTGAACCAGCAATACCAAGTACTTCTGTTGGAGTCCTTACAGAGCTCCAGATTTGTTTGGATTTGCCATCTGGTCTTAAGAATGTGTCTTTAATGAGACAAAAAACATATTCTCTTCATGTAAGGAGGTGGCACTGTGTCTCAGCCATGGTGGGGCATGGCCTTAGAGGTACGTGCAAGGGTGCTGGTGGCTCAGATAGAGTTGGCTGTGTAAAATAGCACAGGGTGCAGTTACGGGATTGGATCAGGTGTGCTGCTACCTTGTGGCTCACCTCGGCCCACTCCCAGCCAGGCATGAAGGGCAGGAGGTCTTGTGTGTCACCCTCCTACTTGTGACTTTTCCTGCCTGGTAAAACTCCAGAGTTTGGAGGGGGAAAGCTGAGTAGTGTGTTTTCTGATTTAAGCTTTAGGAAAGACAGTTAATATACACAGAAAATACGTAACTTTCTGTTAGACAGACTCTTTTGAGACTTCTCTTACCGTAGTCTGAGGTATCTTAGATCTTCTTTAGTGATATCATTGAGAATATCAGAAAGTGTATAACCCTCCTCAACAATCTGAAACAAACACCAAATACATCAAATACATAACTGCTGCGCAGCTTTTTGGAGTATAAGAATGGGGTTTTTGTCTATAAATTTACCTTTTCAATTGTATTTGCATCTGCCCCTTGCCGTTGCAACCAGTCTATGAGCTCTTTGTCTGTTCTCTGCCCATGAGGGGGTGCTGGGTTCTCTGTAATGTCTGTAACGATTACAAAGTTTTGTTGTATATTAACGCCTAATCATAAAACTTCAAAAGTAACAAGTTGAATGTAATAAACTATTCCAGACTATAAATGTGATGTGAAAAGCAGATTGATTATACCTGTATCACTCAGCTGCGCTAATACATACTATATACTTTATAACTCTTGGATTACTTTTCCAGAGAGTGGAATAACCATTGCTTGCGATACCTTTAGTGAGTTTGGGATTTGATGTGTTACCTATCATTTGAAATGCTCGTTCCTTTTTTTGCTTGTTTTTTTGTTTTAATAGGGTGCATGTGCTTGGAGAGAGGGGAAGTGAGAAATCACCCCTCAGGGGGAAGGCCATGCTGCAATTCCTTTTTGTTCTTCTCTCTGAACTTTGAGCAAACACACAGAACTGGTATGTTTTGTAGCTGCCAGGTCCAGGAGTCAAACTGCACAGTTGGCCATGTGAGATCCACCTGCTCTAATCACCACACCACTGGCTGGCTCTCTACTATCTTTAAAATGCCTTTTCTTAGGACTCATACCCCTAATTGTACTGGAAAACAGTTGTGGGAATAGATTTTAGTACTGAGATTTGCATCACAGTTTGCCCGTTTGACATTCCCAGTCAGGCTCTTTTTTTTGGGGGGGAGAGGTTTTTGCTATAGGGCACGTGCACTCGCCAGACAGAGAGAGACAGTGAGAAATCACCCCCCAGGGGGGATGGCCACGCCGCAATCCCTTCTCCTCCATTCTCCTCTCGGGATCTTGGGCATGCACGCACACGCGCCCGGCGTGAGTTTAAGCCACCGGATCCAGGACTCGAACCACAGTCGATTACATGGGAGTCCAGCGACATAGCCATTATGCTAACTGATGGTCCCCCCAGTCAGGCTCTTAAGGTATAACTTAGGCAGTAACCCATCCTTTTTAGGTATATAACATTTCCAGTTTTAAAAACGACAGCATCATGTGACAACCCCCACAGTCAAGACCCAGGAATTTCCATCACCCCCAGAAATTCTCACATGTCCTTCCCTCCCCCTTTGGATTGGTTCTCTGTCCCTGTAGTTTGCCTTTTGCAGAGTACTAAGTGGAATCATGGTGTGTAGCCTTTTGAACCTGGCTTGTCTACTTGGCACACTGCATTTACAATTCATCCATGTCGCTGAATGTATTGCTAGTTCCTTTTTTTTAATTGAGTAGTATTCTAAATCTACTGGAGTTGTGGTTTAATAGAAGGTTACCTCAACTGTCTTCAAAGCAGACTAGAATTATTGAATTTTAAACAGTCCCTCTCGTGTAGACATACTTAAGTCAGAGTAAGTGGAAAATGACTCACCGTTAGGTTTAAATTGTAACTGAAGGTGATACAGTTGTTGAGTTTTCTGTTCTAAAGTTTGTCGTAGAAGATTCTGGTACTCTCTCTCTTTTTGAACTAGGTGTTCCAAAAGTCTGGTTTTAAAAAAACAAAAACAAAAACAACTATCACCTGAGAGTCCAGTACCCTTCAACTTAACCTGAACATGAGAAAGAAATGAAAATGGCACAGTACTAACCACCTAGAGAGGGAAGCAAATGTGTTTCTTCCAAGTCCTGCAGATCAGGCTTTACCTTAGGGAAACCTTCCTCGTGTTTTTCCTTCCCTTGACAGCAAACACTCAAAGCGTGGGTATATTTTTGCAACGGACTGAATGTGTCCCCCAAAGTTCAGATATTGGAATCCAAACCCCCAAGGTGATGGTATCAGGATGTGGGGCCTCTGGGAGGTGAAGCACAATTAGTGCCCTTATACAAGAGACTCCAAGATTCCCTCGCCTCTTCCACCGTGTGAGAACACTGCGGGAAGATGGGTAGCTGTGAACCAGGAAGCAGAGCCTCACCAGACACTGAATCTGCCAGTGCTTTGATCTTGGACTTCCTAGGCACCACAACTGTGAGAAATAAACTTCCATTGATCATGAGCTACCTGGTCCACAGCATTTTGTTACAACAGTGCAGTAGAACAGTTGTCTGTGTGTCCTGAGTCAAAATGTATCTGTATGTGCGGGAACCAGCAGTTAGCGTAATGGCTATGTCGCTGGACTCCCACGTAGTTGACCGCGGTTCGTGTCCTGGACCTGGTGGCTTAAAACTCACGCCGGGCGCGTGTGCGTGCGTGCCCAAGATCCCGAGAGGAGAATGGAGGAGAAGGGATTGCGGCGTGACCATCCCCCCTGGGGGTGATTTCTTGCTTTCTGTCTCTATGTCTCTGTCTGTCTGGTGAGCGCACGCGCCCTACAGTGAAAATCTCTCCAAAAAAAAAAAAATTATCTGTATGTGGAACAGCACAACACAGCCAGAAGGATGAGGTGGTGGTTTAAACCTGCCTAAGTCAGATAAGGCGCCCCAAGCTAGAATGGTTAGGCCCTTTGCTCCTTGTGGGGGGAGGGACTAAACCCTGAGGAAAGAGGCCTCACAGGGGGGGGGGGGGGGGGGGTTGAAGCAATGC